AGTATTCAATTTTTCGAATTTATTGCATGGAGAATTTGATCGAGACTCGAGCATCGGATGCCTGACATCGACACATCATCCTCGCAAGACGGTGGAGCACAACGCAGTACCTGAATGAGTACATATTATATACCTGATTGCAGTTGCGTCCTGGACGGGGAGGTCAATTTGGTGCAATCGTGACCACCTGTTTGTATTCAAGCCCTGCATGAGTGCATGGCTGCTGAGCGGCTAGCTAATTTGGTGCAAGCGTGAGCATGTGCTCATGTTCGAATGAAAGATAATTCTGACCTGGGAGTGACCGGGCTTGAGGATCTCGTCCTGGAAGCATACTGTGGAGACCCGATGGGGATGTCTGGTACAGTCTGTGCTTGGGTTTAGTTACGGAACAGTGGTGCATGTGCACAAGAAATGGCCGCACATGGCCTCACTGGATAGTGCCATGCCAGTGATTTTGGCAGTACCTTGTTTGCCACTGGGCAGATGTGTTGCTTGATGGGGTGTTGCACGACGGAATGTACAAACGCACGTCTGTGTAGATGCACGCCCGATGCATGGTTGAGTTCTAACCTGCTGCCTCCACTGCTGCCCTCCGCCTCTTTGCATGCTGTCGACCTCTAGTGAGCCATTTTGGCTGTGCATGTATTGCTTTGTCAACAAATAAAATTCGTAATTAGTTGCACAAGCAGTCCTGAAGCAAAAATATTGCATGGATGTTCCCAACATGCTCGTCTAACACGGAGGAGGACAATGGCTATGCCATGCAGGGTAGGTAGTATAGTCAGGTCATTCCTAATAACCTCGGGTGTCCCGCCCTTTCTATACCTTATAAACCTCATAGGGCCTTAGTACTTCCCTGTCACCCGAAGGAATGGCTTCAGTTTGGTGGAAACTCGTTAATTATGATTTCCACGCACAGATCACAGCCCCTGCGCTGACCGACCCGGTCATAGCGAGCTGTATCCCGAGCCCCACGATTGTGATCTGCACATCGTAGTCCATGAAATCCAGGTTTTCTCTAGGCGTGCTAGCCATTCCCTTTATAGTAACTGGATTTCAGGGGCCATGGGTTTTTTTTTTTTCGAATGTGCGGCCAACCCTTGTTTGCGAGGTGCGGCCAAGGGTCCCTGGTGCATGCGGTCCCCTGGTCCTCTGGTCCTTGGTCCTGTGGTTCCCTGGTCCTCCGGTCTGCTGGTCCTCTGGTCCTGTGGTGTCCGTGCATGCGGTCCCCAGTCCTCGGGTCCTTGGTCCTGTAGTCCTCTGGCCCTCTGGTCTGCTGGTCCTCTGGTCCCGTGCTCTCCTGGTCCCGTGGTTTCCTGGTCCTGCGGTCCGCCGGTCCCTCGGTCCCGCAAAAGCAACAAGAAAGCAAACAAGGAATAACACAAATAAAGCACAACCCCAGAAGAAAGAAAAGCAGAAGAAAGATGATGAAGGAAAGAAAGCCAGGAAGGAAGCACAAAAGAAAGCAAGAAAGCACAGGAGCTAGCAAGGAATGAAAGAGAAACAAGAACAGGAACCCATTTTTGTTTGTGCCCTTTTTATTGGCCCTCTTTCTTTTGCTCCCACGTCCTGTTATTTACAAGGGCAAGGAAGAAAGCAAGGAAAAAAGGAAGGAGGAAGGAAGGAAGGAAGGACGGTAGTATTTCAGTGATTTATATATATATACATAGTATACATAGTACATGTTGTATATATAGTATGTATACTATATATATATAGTATGTACAGTAAAGATAATATATTGTAATATAATATAATGGAATATAATATGATATATTATAATATAATGTAATAAAATATAATGTAACATAATATAATATAGTATAATATAACATAATGTAATCTAATAAAATGTAGTATAATATATTATAATGTAATATAATATAATATATTGTAATGTAGTGTAATATAACATAATATAATATAATGTAATATAATGTAATATAATGTAATATAATGTAATCTAATGTAGTATAATATACTGTAATATACTACAACATAATGTATAATAAAGAAATACAGTATAATATAAAAAGATATAATATAATATAATATACTATAATATATTAGAACAGAATATCATATAATAGAATAGAATATCACAAAATAGAATATCATAAAATAGAATAGAATAGAATATCATATAATATAATAGCATAGAACAGAACATAATAGAATATAATAGAATATAAAGAATATCATAGAATATAATAGATATCATAGAATATAATAGAATATAATATAACATAAAAGATTATAGGAATATATTATGGATTTTAATAATTGAATAGAATATAATATAATGTAATATAATAGAATAGAATAAAATAGAAAAGAATATAATAAAGAGAATATAATATAATATATACAGTATAAAGAGGTATACGTTTGTTTATTATATATATATAGTATATATAGTATATATAATATGTATAGTATATATACTATATATAGTATGTATAGTGTATATAGTATATATAGTATATTTAGTGTACATAGTATATATAGTATATATATATATACAGATATACATAGAGTTTCAAGTTTCTATATATATATATATATATAAATATAGTATATGTAATAAGTACAGGAGATATAACCTTAGTATATATAGTTTATACAGTATATATAGTATATATAGTATATTTATAATATATACATATTTATATAGTACATGTAGTAGAGTTAGTATATATAGTATATGTAGTATATATAGTAGATATAGTAGATATTATACAATTGTATGTATATATATATATGAATATAGTATACATCGTGTAAATAATATATATATATATATATATATATATATTTATTTATTTATAGTATATAGTATATATATATATACAGAGAGAGAGAGAGAGTACATATGTGTGTATATAAGTATATACATATATATATATATACATATGGAAGGCCTATTATTTTGGATCTTATTGTTGAAATTTTTGTTTGGTGTTTTTCCATGGTTTTCCTTGGGGAAACACTATTTTCCTCACGGTTTGGACAGATTTGGTGTGCTTTTCTTGGTTTTTTCCACCTGAAACGAAAAGAACCCATGAAGACAGAACGAAACACCCCAGAACAAGGACCAAAGCAAGGAAGAAGAACAGAAAGAAAGAAAAGATAGAAGGAAGGCAGACGGTTGGAAATTCAGGTTCGGAACCCAGGTTCAAACCTGGGTTTGAACCTAGGTTCTAATTCGGGTTAGAACCCAGGTTCAGAACACGGATTTTCTCGGGTTGTTGATTCAGCGGGGTTAAGCGCGAAGCAACACAATCAATCATGAATGACTTGGAAGTTCTCTTGAGCCACGAAGTAATCAACAATAACGTGTTTGCCAACCGGTCGTTTGAGCCGCCACGAAATAAATAAAACCGTGTTCGCCAACACAAAAAAAGAATAAAACCAGCCAACACTGCTTCAGGGGGGTTTAACGTGAAGACAAAATCAATCCTGAAGGATTTAAATGGTTTGCAAATGGGGGGGCTGCGCCCCCCCCAACCCCCCCGCTTTTTTTAAGACTAAACCCCCCCGCTCTCTAAAGCCACACAAGAAAGGGAAAGCCAGACAACCACGCTCCAGGGGAGTTTACCGCGAAGAAAGCACAATCAATCCTGAAGGGTTTAACAGCTTTGCAAATAGGGCGAGTTCCCCCCCCAAACCCTCGCTGTTTTAGACTAAACTCCCCGCTCTCTAAAGCCGCGAAGAAATGAACATAAACGTATTCGGCAACACACAAGAAGGGGAAAGCCAGACAGCCACGCTCCAGGGGGTTTAACGCGAAGAGCAGCAACAACAACAGCAACCAAGACGACGACCACGACGACATCAACGACCCCACCAGCACCAACGACGACAGCAACGACATCAACGACACCACCACCGCCAAGGCAAATAGTCTTGGAAATGGCTGCATTTCCCATTATTTTTTCTTTAGTTTTTCGTTGATCCCTGGATCTAATTTGTTTTTGATGATATGCCTCACGCCGTCCACAGGGATCCTGCCCCTCGAAGCGCCCGCGCTGTGGTGCGGCGCGACCCCGATGAACCCTCTACAGGGATTCTGTGTGTCGAAGCGCTGGCGCTGTGGTGCGGCGCAAATTCTTTACGTCGCCGATGAACCCTCTACAGGGATCCTGCGTGTCCAACCTGAACAAATCCTTGGCCGCACCTCCGAAAAAAGAGGGTTGGCCGCACCTCCGAAAAAAAAAAAACCCGCCGGATTTCAGAAGGGGGATGAATGAACAGTGTATTTACTCTGATGTACTTGCGTCGTTGTGTGGAAATCGTCCTCTCTAGATCGTCTCACTCAACAGACCTCGAACCACATGCCTCGCCCGGATTGTCCGAGTGCGCGCGCCGAATCCCCTTAGCAAGGCACGCAAGAGAGGGAGAGAAAGAGAGAGAGAGAGAGAGAGATCGGCAGAAAGGGGGAAACATCCTGTTTTTACAGCCTTCCGCAAGCCACAAATACGGCGGGGGCCCTGGTGGCCGAGGGGTCTCGCACACCCCTCATGCCCTGAAGAAGAAGAAGAAAGAGAGAGTTAGCGAGAGAGATAGAGACAGCGCGAGCGAAGCCGCAGCGGTTAGAGTAACCAGGCACCGCACAAAGGGGGGCACACACCAAATACAGTGTAAAAGTTTGTGTGTAGCACGCTGGAAAGTGTTATGAAAGCTGTTGTGTGTTGGTCGGGCCCTCAGTGCGTGCAGCTCCGAAGACAGTGCGATAGGTAGTGTACCGTGCCCGGAGTGTTGAACTGGTGCTGTTGGCTACCCGGAGCTGTAACAGTGCAATTGAGCAACGGATAGTTGCAAAACTGGTAGCAGTGGACGAGCGAGGCGGGGGGTTTACACTAAGTGCAGGGGGCGGGGGCTGCGGGGGATCAGCCGGTGCCGCCCATTGATCCCATTGCCTCGCTCCGCCGCACCGGTCTCACTAAGCCTGATGATAGTGATGTATTTTTCAGCCTTCTGCGCTGCAATCTGCATCTCAGGTTTGTGAAGCTGGTGCGAAAATGCCGAGACTTTGAACGTGGAGCTTCTGTGGCTGCTTTCAATGCGGCAGATACGAGGACAAGCAGCTTGCACGTGTACATGCTGCGACAATGCATGATCAGAAGTGCATCGAGTTTAGGAACACAGGGCTGCTCGACGAACATGCTGCAGCCCTTGCTTTACAGAAGCTGGGGTTCGAGGAGGTCAAGCTGCCAGATAATTCGCGAGCTCCTTGATTGAGCTGTAGTGCCGAAACAATATGTCCGTTCGTTTACCTCCACTGATTCTAGTGCACGCCGAGATTGTCCTTGTTCAACAGGTTGGCATGGATCTCAACGACTTCTTGCGCCTTGGATGGCCGTCTTACGTGATCTCCAGTTGCGTTGTGGCACTGCAGATTTCGGTGTGGTTCAGGCTACTTGTGGCACGCCTAGAGAAGGAGAGACTGCGGTGCTTGCGCACATACTTCAACTTCTCGCCGACAGAGCTTGGAAACTTGAGGACCTTCCAAAACATGACATCTTTCTGGCATCTGTGAGCTGTGATGAGCTGTCGCGGCTTGCCAGGATGGAATTCAACCGGGTTTCTAAGGACGGTTCAAGTGAGCTGAAGAGGCACCTTCGCTGCAGTTATGCACGGGCTTGCTTCAGGCTTCGCCAACACAAAGTGTCCCCGGCGTTTCCTGGCAATGTACCGTGGTCGAGTTATTCGAGCATCTGACAGGCACGAGCTGCCGCGCCTAGTGGAGGTGCTCTTCCCGGTCTATGCGCACTCTCCGGAGTTCCGTCCGATCCTGGTTGCCTGACTTAATAAGAACTGCAAACTGCTACTCCGCTTGCTCAGGAGGCTCTCGCTACACCAGGATGCAGACAGGCTTATCTGGAAATACGGGCTCAAGTCCCCATGCAGGGCCTCTCGGTAACCAAAACCTAATCCATGTTCTCGGTGTGGCCGCTTTTGGCTGCATGAATTTGGTCCAGCGGTTCAACCTTTCGCTGTGGCTGTATTTGGCTTGCTCCTCCTGGGTGGGGAACTCTCTGGACGAGCGATGCGCATCCTTTGCCGAAACCTGTGTACCCGACATCCTTGAAGGTTTCCAAGCAGAGGAAACCTCGACGGGGACAGAACTTCGTCTACTGCAGCTTGGACTCACCCTACAGCGTGCCGACCGACAAGAAGAGAAGACACCACGAGAGAACAAGAATCCCCGGAACCGACCTTTCCAGCAAAGGTACGTGCATTTGTCAAGCGAAGATCTTCTCTGGGCCCGCCGCCAAGCAGCACAGCAGAATCCTCTCCTTGCGATTGATGAGCTCACGAACTCCTTGGGTGGCATGAGCACAGCGCGCCGCGGTTTCACCAGAGTCCCGGAGCACAAGGCAGACTGGATCGCATTCACCGACCACGACCCGACGCGAGGTTTTGTGATGGGCGACGTGCAGATCGGACCAGCCCAGGACGAATCCGATGTTACTCACTACAATATATTCTGGGCTTCAAATGGCACTGTCATGGACTTCATCGTCGCTTTGCCTCTGGGCACGTATGTGCACAATCTGCATGCTCGAGCGGACGAAGGGAAGGGCGTTCCAATTCCCACGTCGGCCAACGAAATGCTTGTTTTCACTTCAAACACGGCGGGAATGATGGATAAGGGTGTGGCAGTCTCAGTGTTTGATCACTGGCAACCCCCTGTTCCAAAGTTGCTGAAGGGACTGCTCAAGGGACTGTGAACACGGCAGTCTTCCTGGAGCATGGCAGCACAACAGCGCCGGCTTTCATTCCGTTCATGTTCGTGCTTGCTTGTTGGCTTTGCTTGGCCAGACTGCTCGACATCCGCCTGAGCACAGACTCAAAGACACAAGTCGTCATGTCGGGTCCGGTAAAACGGGATTTGCAGGGATGCAGCTGGTTTGCTCGCTTCACTGCAGGGCTAGGAAAATTCGAGGCCGTGGCACCCACCCCTAACTCCTCCAATGTTCTCTGGATGCCTTGATACACAAGCGTGAGGTCCGGCTACTGAAAGAGGTGAAGCTCGACGAGAGGCAGGCGGTCAAGTACATGGATTTCCTGCAGCTGATCCGTACAATCCGGGATGAGACGGAGAAGCACCAATGCAGCCACCCCAGCTACAGTACACGTACAGCAGCTTCGTCTTGCCCAATTTCGCACTCTCGCGGCTTGGTTCCGTTTGTCTTCGCAACTCTCCGTGCTTCCTTCCAGATTCCTCAGAGAGGTTGCAGCCCGAGCTCAGGGGCCGTCTGCTGCTTGTATCATAACTGGGATGATCGCCAAGGTCTGGTCTATGCAGAGACCATCCGGCGGCTTGAGTTCAGCTTTCGCGAAGCATCTGAGTTTCTGTCCGTTTTTCTGCTGCTTGGCATGGTCGTTATGGATCCTTGTTTGTTCTTCCGGCCAATAGCATTAGTCACCCCACCCGAACTGTAGAAAGAATCCAAGACATGCAACTGGCGGGACAAGGTCCGCTTCCGAAGAAGCCCAGCGCAAGTTGTCAAGTGAAGTGACTGCACTGCAAGCTAGCCATATGCTCCCACAGCAAGTGTCCCAAGTGCTCGACTGCGCGTTGTGCAGCAGACAGCTCAGCTTGCCTTTCCTGTGCAACGGTTGAACTATACCGAGGACCTCGTCACGTTGTTCCAGCAATGCTTCGACATTTCAGAACGCGAGTGCCTTCGGCAGCAACTTGCGTCCTCCGCCCCATCATTTTTCCAAACAGCTCGGTCTGATCTTGGCATGATGTGCTAAATGCGGCCCAAGCAAGAAGTAGCCGGCCGTCCATGTCTGTCTGCAGGTGCCACCAGCTGCATGAGTGCTTTCTGCTCAGCGCGAAGACTATTCCGTCGAAGAGCCGTAGTCTTTGCCTAAGAAGCACCTCAGTTGGATTCTGGCGCAATCGCTTGGGTGTTTAGCTTACTCAGGTGCGGCACCCCCGCAGTCGTGCAGCTTCACTGTGAAGAGACCCGAAGAATCACAGAGCTTTCCTCCGAGCATGGCCGCTCGTCCTCACGTGGTGTTTTCTGCCACTTGGCCACTGCATGGCAAATAGAGTCTTGCTTCTAAGGGCTTCCAGGGACCAAAGTCGTCAGAGGAGACCGGTATGAACTTTTTGGACTTCCTCGAAATCATGCTGCTCGCTCGCAGTCGAAGGGCTGCCCGTGTTGAATTGTAGAATCTAGCAGATACGCGGGAGACGATGTCAAGCTTGACAGCATCTCCAGGCGCAGAGTCATCGAAGCTGGACTTGGAGGTGCGCTGCTGCACAAAGGCAGCTTCAGAGCCCGGGCAGCTGAGCGGTAGCCACTGCGATTCCGTTATTCGTATCACAAATGTCTGCAGTTTCGATGTACAGCAACTTAGCGGAGAAATAGGTTGCTCTCCACGAGCCAAGCCTCATGCTCTAGTTGCGCCCGGCACCCACTGCGCGGACAGCGACAGAGAGCGTTGTTGCAGCGGTCAGGTGGGCTGGTGCTTTGTTGGGTTTTCATTGTGGCGGGGGCTTGGGAGCATTTGACATTTTCAGATGACATCTGCATGAGGAAGACTTCGAGGTCTGGATTTTGGTTTATAAACAAGAGGTGCTAGTACCTGGAAACCTCGCGACTTGGAGGTGCAGCTTCGAGCATTTTCCACGTCTTCCGACGTCTTTCAAGGATTGGCAGAGCTGTGCTAATTTTGAGGTTGTTTTAATTTTGAGCTGAAGGATGACGTTTGCATGCGCTGGCAACTGCCAACCCTCTTATTTCGCGGTTTTGTTGCGAGATGCGCCCAATGGCGCTTGCGCTCGATCACGGAAAAATCAAGGACTTGAGGAGGAGCAGAGCTTTGAGGGAGAGGATGAAGTAGGGGGGTCCGATGATGTTACTTTTGCGGGGCTGGGCAGGCCACTGGTGGGTCGGATGAGAAACGCAGCGTTGATGATGTGGCTGATGCTGGTCTCATCTGCCTACTTTGCAGGCTCAGAAATTCAAGCGCTTTGTGGGAGTTCTTTGTTCTTTGTTTTGGGATCCAGGTTTTATGGCCTCCATCGTTGGTATTCTGAACTTTCATCGTCCTTGCACGTACTTGTCGCATGGATCATCGCGCTTGGTATCTCCGCATCTGGGGACTCGGAGTCTGCTCCCCTTGTCCGAGGTTTGGGAGTCAGGAGCCCAGGCCTCTTTCATGGCAGCAGAGTGGGGCTGGGGCAGTTGTGCATTGCAGAGGTTTACGAACCGGTCACCTTCCTGCTGGGGCCACAGAAGCTCCGCTTCAGGGCGAGCCAAGGCTTCTGCGAGTCAGCGTTCGGTGAGGTTTCGAGTCTTCCTTGCCCGCTATGTCGGCCTTTCCGCCAGAGTGCGCTGATCCTAGAAGAGGCATTTCTGGGGTCACAGCATGGCAATCCCACAGGGAAGTTGTCAAAGCATCGAGTGAGGTTTGCCGCGTCAGGCATGCCTCGCACCCATTTCCATTGCACCATAGCATTGAGAAGCATCTCCGCGCCGTGATGTGGTTGAGGTTGCTGCATGGCCTAGCTGCTGTGCTGGCCAGTGCGAACACGGAGCTGGTCTCGCGGAGTAGAATGTCGGTGCCTCTCTCGGCTCGCCGTACGAATCGAAGGTGCTGTGCCGCCTCTGCCGACGAAAGCCGGGTTCTTCTACCCGGATAGTTTCAGCTGCTGCAGCGGCGGGGTTGCGAGGTGAGAGGGAGTCTTGAGCTTGTGTTCTCGTCCGGCAGGCTTTTTTTGCCGCGCATCCTATGCGCGCCGAGGTGGCGGAACTCTCAGCTGTTCTGCCACCGCTGATGGCAGATGGGATGCTGACACCGAGCACCCGGGTTACCAGCCGAAATCATCAATAAGCTTGCTGGATGCACCTCATCGATGATCGAGGTTTGTTGGTCGTCCTGCCAGGGGTACTTACTGGCTTCGATATGCTGTCCGAGCCTCAGTGCGTCGACGGCTGCGTCGATCTGTAGCATGGTCATTTTCTCTTGTTCGGTGGACGAGGCTTGCTTTGCTTTCGTTTGCAGCCTAGAACGTCGGAAGGATACGGAGCAATGCAAGTTAGCAAGTCTCCTTCTGCTTCAGGCTTCTACACCTGGGGGCTACGATACAGTGGTGCTCTGTTCTTCAGCTCGTCACTGAGTCAGTCTTGGTGTTGTCGGTGAGGACGATTTGCCAGCACGCATGCAGAGCTTTGAGGCCTGGCCGTTTGCTCCAAGGCCTCCGCAGTCACTTTTCCGTTGGCCCTTTTTGCCTATCTCTCGGGTGTCCAGTGTCAGAGTTACCGTCAGCTAGAGTCCGTTCAGCGTCCAGATCCTCAGGCCTGGGAGCTCCTGTCTGACGAAGATCCGATGGCCGAAGGCTCAGGAATCTCAAGCATCGCTGCAATGTGGCAGCGGCTGCACATCTGGTGTTCAGGGCAGATAGGGTGAGAGCTGCCAGGTATTGGCGGCTGCGAGCCCCGCGCTAAAGATCACGGGTGCGACATTGTCAGCTGGGAGGGTGGGCAAAAAAGATTACAGCTGCGAGCGGAATCCTTCAGCTCGTGGCAGCTTCTCTGAGCCTAAGGGGCGGCCGTGAAACTTTGGCCTTATGTGCCTCCAGCAGTTTGTGTTGTCACTGCCTCAGCCGCTCAGCCGTTCAGCCGAGTTGCAGTAGATAGGCAGATAGGCTTTGGGTGGACTTCGACCTGAGGCCCTGATGGCCATGGTTGCCGCAAGTGGCGCACCCGCAGACGTTGGACGCCCAGCTGCAGCGCGAAGGGGCAGCACCATCAGCACCATGCCACCATGCCTGCTTCTTTGGCACACCGCGACTGGGTTTTGGTCATGGCCGCAATCCTGGGAATCGCCTGAGGCGCGGCCATTGGACAGCCTGGAAAGAGTGTGAGGGTCCCAGGCCACATAACTGAACAACATATTGTGGTGTTTCGACTCTGTGGGATGCAAAGGTGCTGCCTTGCCAGCTTAGGCTCCGGGCCTCTTATGCGCCTTGTTTCTACCTTTGGCGAACTTTTGCCTTCGGCTCAGATCAGAGTTCAACACGAAAGTCGGAGCTTTGGCGATTCAGGCCCCTCCGTGGCAATGGACTACGCCCGGTGCTTTCTATCAGCTTTTTGTAAAGAGAGAAAGCTGGCAATCGGAGGCCTTTGCGTGGAGGGTGAGGTTCACCATGTTCGGGGGCAAAAGCACAGCGAATTCTAAATTCTAAGCAGCAGTTTTTTGTTCCCAGGCCCCGCTATGCCTTGCCGGAGAAGCTTGAACTTGCTTGGCTCCAAGTATTGAGTCAGGGAGGCTATTTTCAAACGCTTGCAAGTTCAGGCCGATTTTGGTTTTGCATCGGCTGTGGCGTTCCTGGCAGCGACGTTGGCTTTCTGCATATGCTTCGCAGCTCTTGAGGCTCTGGGGGCACCTGGGCTGCACTCGGGGCGGGCGCAGACTCCGTAAAGCTGGTAGGGTAGAGCCTGCGTGGAGACAGCTGGGGCCCCAAGGCCAGAAGCTGGAGATGCCGTGCACTTTCGCTGGCTCCGTGGCTCGAGATCCCCCTGCCCAAGTGTCTGGCAAGTGCTAGCCGCGCTGCCTGCTAGGCTTGGGCGACCTACCTGGCACTGCTGCTTCCGCAGGTGCCCAAGGATTCGCCCCCAATAGGTCGATTGAGGGATGCAGTCACTATGTGGTGACGTGCGGCTTGCCCACCCGATTTGCAGAGTTTGCCTGGAAGTCGGGGTCTATGATGGCATTCCATGCATTCCCTTAATTCCCGGATTTCTCGGCTTGAGCAATCCTTCAGCCAGCGCCATGCAGAGCTCTCGGCTGCCATTGAAGCAGCACCTTGTCCTGATTGAAGCCCTTCTCGGCTTCTCACCTGTGCCGCCGCACGGCTCAAAGAAATTCCCCAAGACGCGAGGTATGAGCTGACCTTGCAGAACGCGCAGCGCGTGCTCGCCAGCCTGCTGGAGCAGCCAGCGAAGCCGTGGGTTCCTTTCAACGTCCCGAGCTCAGCGAGGAAGCGCCGAAAGGATTGCGACTCTGCGCCTGGCTCGCAGGCATTAGTTGACGAACTTTCAGGGCAGCTCTCTGCACTTCGGCAACGTTCTGCGGCCTGTGTTGTGTCCCTCGGCTTCAAGGGGGCACAGGCTGCTGCATATTTCCCATAAATAAGATTCGCATCTGCATTCGCAAAACAAGGCAGCGAGCAATCCGCCACAGCTTGGCGAGGATCGCACAGAAGCGCGCAGGCCTGACCAATATGTCAAAAGCGGCGAATAAACGGAATGCCAAACAGATGTCATTGCATCATGAGAGAGAGGGAGGCATAGCATACTATGCTTCTGCAGGGCAGTTGGCTCGATCTGCCAGAAAGCTTCTCTCTCGGCTCGCTTCAAGGGATTTGTTGAAAGTCTCAGAAGAGATGCGCTTCGTGCCGAGGCCGCCCAGCACAAGCAACGGATATTTCGCCGAAGCTCCGAAGAGAGCCTTGGTTCCGGTACCGCCTCCTTTGCCACCGTCATCAGGCTGTCCCGATGCTCTTGACTGAATGAAAGAACTTTGGAACAAGACCATCCTAGACTCCGTATGCGCAGGACATGCCCTGAATCCTTTGGAGAAGCGTCGCCAGATGGTTGCAGCGCAGTTGGCCATAAGTGGCTCCGACAAAGTCTGTTTTAAAGGAGTGATCTTGTTGACCTGGACGGCCCCCCCGCTTTGTTGTTTTTAAGGCAACCCTTCTCGACTTGCTCGGTCAAGACGGCCGCAGCATTCGAGCGAAGTGGTGTTGGGCACCCGAGCTGTTTTCTTCACTTACGGCACAGAGTGTTTGCAGCCACTGAACACCGGTATGGCAAGGTCCCAAAACCCAGCCGCTGAAAAGGTTGTCGTCGGTCAGGAGAGCCGATCGCACTGTCATCTCTGTGCTCTTGTGGCAGTTCTGCGGAAGCATGCGATGTCTGGATGGAGGACATGGCAGCCCCCACTGCCATGGTCACCCTACCCAAGCTTCAGACAGGCAGCAGTGCTCAGGCGAGCAATCCATCGCAATGCGAAAAGCTCAGCTTCGTTCCAAAGCATGTGACTGCTGCCAGGTGGTCTCCCAAATCTCCAGTGGATCCTACGACAAGGCACCAAGCAGAGATTTAAACACTACAAAGAGAGCAAAACTCTTTTTGGTGCAGGAACTCCCCTCGACGGCACCCTTGGAACTCCTTCTGAAGGATGGCCTTGGAGAGGGCGACGTAGATCAGCCTTGCGCTCGGACTGAAGTATACTTGGACCTACTCGAAGCCCGCCCCATGTTGTCCAGGATCGCACTCCTGGGCCAGTGTGATAGTGCTAGCCTCAGTGGGCGGCAGTGATTTTTGAAGCAAGGATAAGCGAAGTAGGCTCTGATGGAGTACTGGCTTCCGTTTGCTTGCATTTGGCGTGGAGAGTTGCTCAAGATTCCAGCGGGTGGCGGTGCCGTGCATTCTGAACGCCTGGGCATCTCTGCTGCAAAATGTACTTGCAGGTGGAGTCCGTGGAAAACAGTCTGACCGATGAGGAAAACCTGGAAACACATGAGCGCTTCCCACCTGAATTCCAGCATGGCAGGCCCTGCGGATGGCACAGAGCAGTTGTGACTGCGGTGGTACTCGTGGTGGCGGCTGCATGCGTAGCCTTGGGACTGCCGGCACCTCGGGCCGGCAGTGATGGAATGGATCGCGTGGGCACGGAGGGGATGGTGGAACTACAAAATGGCCTTGACGGCCATGAGCAGAAGGTGGTTCTTGGAAAGAGGGCACAACTGCAGCACGAAGAAATTTCGAAAGCTCGCCACAGCTCCACGACACCACCACATCTTTTGCCTGCGAAGCCTCGGCTTCCAGACAGAACGACTGTAGTTGGCTCCTATACCCTTAGCGGCGTTGCTAAGGAGTTTAGAGAGGAAGCAGAGAAGCTCAGCCCAGCCAGCATGGAGCATAAAGTCATAAAGGGCATTGCCCATATGCTCGGCAACTTCGTGAGCGCAGAAACCAGGCCTTTGATCAAGTTGACCACTCCGGTGCCCACGTCAATCGCGTCTGGCGTCAGTCCTCGCTTGCCTCTGCACAGCCCTTTGGCTCCGCCCGAGGCCTTGCGTGACGGAAACAAGTGTGCAAGGGATGAGGAGGAGTTCCCTCAATTCGGTGGCACGTGCTACAAGAAATGCAGCGATCTCACAGCTGGATATTTTCCTGTTCGCAACAGTCCCTTCTCTTGCTGTGAGGCAGAGCCTTGTGGGCTCAGCAACACTAAGATCCACCTTAATTTCTGTTCTGGCTTTGATGTAGCCGGAGATCAGGAGGGACTTGGATGCCCGAACTTTGAGGGAGCTTGCCTCACAGATGAGGAGCTATTCGCCGGGCTCTGCTACAAGAAGTGTTCGCTATTCCCAGACACGCAAGCACCGCAGGCTTATGACCACCGAGTGGCTCCGAACCTGTGTTGCAGAACGAGAGGACTTTTGTGCCTGTTGCCGAAATACTTAAAGCTCAATGCTGGCTTCGCAATCGGCGGGGGTGCGCATGATGGCAACGTGGAGACGCCTGCGCTGCCACATCCGCCTTTGAAAGCTCTGACCGAAGTAGATGCGTAATCTGCTGCATGTTTTTTCATAATTCGCCGTGTGCGTGTGTGTGCGTGGATGGCTTGTCCAGATGGGCTATCCTTGCAGAACAGTGTGCAAATTCGGCTGGAAGTTCTAAGATTAGGACACCGACCTCGTGCAAGTAATTCGCCCAGCAACATATCTGTAGTGGCCGGCCTCTTGCAAGAAATCTGGATCAAAAGCAAGATGATTGCTGGTGTACTTAGTGTACTTGGGGTTGTGGTATGGGTAGGCAGTGACAAGCCGAGTGAGGTTTAACTGAGTGCTTGAATGCTGAAGGTGCGGGAATTAGCATGGCGCCTCCACCATCGGAAGGCGCCAAGCGACCGGGCTCTGCCCCACGCCAGCCGTGTCAGCCGTGCAGCCCGTAGCTTGCCAAGCTGGGCACATCCTGACCTGACATCGCTCCTGAACGCTTGCGAAGCCTGGAAGTCCGAAAGCTCCAAGGCCGAACTTCGCTGCAGTCGACACGAAGGCACCGCAATGTTCGCAGACGCGTGGCATATTCAACGCTCTCGACCCGGAGACGCGACGCAGGATGGTCCGACTCCGCCATCCACTGCACCAACGGGCGAGTTCCACTCTACGGTCGGCAGCCTGCCGGAGGCTTTCAGTGATTGTGCTGCGGCGAGGCAGGAAGTTCCGATGCCCATGTTCTACTGAGCCTTTCAACATCACTGCATCTATGCACGGGGTTCAAGAACTTGTGCTGCAGCTCGGCAGGTCTGAGCACGCCTTCGCACATTGCCATCGCGGAGTGTTAAGAGTGGCCCACTGAAACAAGCGGACTGCTCCTGCACATCAGGACCGCATCGTCACTGTAGATAGGGCACAGAATTTCTGCTCAGGAGCATGTGTGCCTCTGGGGAAGATACCACACAAGTCTTCAACACTGCCATTGCTTGTCCTAGGCGGATAACCCTGCTTGTTCGCGTTATTACATCCACCCATACCTTCTCAGACCACGGTGGCACAGTGCTTTTGCTTGTTCAAAATCAAGGGATGCAGCTACAGCTACGAAGTTGCTGGGCTGCGAGCGAGTGAACGCAGTTGCCTTCACGGCAGAGACCACTTCTCAAAGCTTTCGCCAAATTGGCCGAAGCTGCAAAAGCGGGCATCACATGGCCAGGTGTTCGGGATCATTGCGAAGAATCAGCGCTCTTGCAAATTGTTCTCGTCGTGATTCTGCAAGTGGTTGTGCTGCAACTCTTGTACTTTGTACCGCCTAGCGTCGTCCTCTGTCTGGTGGACGAGTATCTCCGGAGCGACGCCAGCATTGAAAAGACATGCTGTGGATGATCGAACACATGTGAGGCCGTGTCTTGCCTGGCCAGGTTGACTCCAACCCCAGCTTTGGTACAGTTTGTGTCGCTGAGGTCACTGGGCGTCGTGTCAACCCATGCTGGGCCTCAGAACCGGATTTTGCGGGCAGCATACGTATATATTGAAACACGCGTCAAAGCAGGAGGCAAAAACGTACTTTGACGCGTCCTTTGCTCCTTTTCATTCCATTTCCATGTCTGAAGCTCTTTGTGGGCTTATCAGTCCGAGTCCTCGCACTGTCACGTCCTCTCTGGGGCATTCATCTGGCTTGGCCCTGACCCGGATTCCTGTCAGCACATGCTCTGTGACACTGCCAAGCAATGTGCTAGACCGATTAAGCAAGCAAGTGAGTGGCCTGTGGTTGACAGTTGAAACTAGGTGTACGATACGTAAAAAATTGTGACGTGTTCTGAGCGACAGAGGGATAGATGGACACAGGAAACACAGGATGATTAGCTCTGCCGCCGCCTAGAGGGAGCACATGTTTGGAAGTGTCTGTACTGTTGTTGATTCCGAGGAATGGTTTTGGCACGTCTTTATCTCCTTCTTCCCTTGTGCGTGCTATCCTCTGCAGAATGTCATGCTGAAGTGGAGGAGCCGGGTGACGAGACATGCACCCTTGAAATGGTCAAGCAGGTGCGAAAGGCTAAGAGGACCGCCGGAAAGTATTCCTACTTGGACGTAAGCAACTTTACGGGGAAGTGTGTCGCGACAGATGCAGAAGCAATGCAGAAACTGGGCGCTGGCAGTGATGAAGGCAGTTTCCCAAAGATTGTGGCTGATTGTGGACACCATGCCTTCAGCATCTGGTCTGGCTTCAGTCGCGACTCGATGGCCCATTGCGTGCATTCCCAGACCAAGCTGACACAGGGGTGTGCGAGCTGCTTTGGGCAATCGGGCCAGTATGGTTTTGACCATTGCAAGTTTGAGTGCCTTCGCAGCTGGTGTTCCAAATCTTGCCTGGGCTGCTCCGACGCGAACAAGGCCGAGCTCTACAAGTGCATGGGTTTCGCTGGCCCTGAGGCTGAGTATTGTGCTTAGAGCGGAAACCAAGCATGAAGCGCCAAGCATAGGATGGCAGACAGTGCCAGCAACAAAAATGGATCGAAGATCTGGTGCGGCAGCTGTGGCAGCAAATTAGCCAAGCTGGAACTGGGTCAGCTTTGATCTACCAAGTCAATGACAAAGTCCGTCAAAAGCAGTTGGCTCACAAAGGTAGTCAACACTTATAGAGTAAAGTGAGTAAAACTGACGCTGTGTCAGTTTTGAGCTGTCCGTGGGCATAAGACTTCGGCAGCGACCAGCGGCAGTTGCCTGACAAAGCCCGGGCGCTGTGCAGCAGTTTCAGAAAAGTGACGTTCTAGTGTTCCATGGCCCACGTTTGCACATCGCGCAGCCGAAACCGTTTCAGACTTGCTGTGTTTTCATGCCAAGATTTGGGCCTTGGCCGCGGACAGATACGCAACTCCCCCAGCCTTCTGGGGCCGGTTACTTGAGTTCTGAGTGAAACTGTACAGAGAAATGGCATGCCCTGCTGGCTTGCATCCTGCAACTGAACTTGAGCTTTGCCAAGGCTTACTTGCCCACCCTGTGCATTCTCATGCCGTGCACAGCCGCCCTGCTCCAAAGTTTGTGCGAGGCGGGCAGTATGTTGCAGCCCTTTCAGTTCTCATGTTCTCAGAATGTAAGCTTGCGAATGGCGGCAGATTTTCGAACATTGGAGGGAGCCATCTGCTTTGCAGGGATGTGCGTTGAAGTGCAGAGCTTTGCTGCTGGTACCCTGCTGAGCTTTGCATGTCCAGCGCAGCGGTTTTGGGAATCGTTCGTTGACGGCCAGCATGTCGTGCCTTGCGTCTGTCAGAATTGTTCGGGAGATCCGTCCGGGGAGCTTGCATGTCATCGTTTACTCATGCGGTCCATTGTGAGGCATGCAGCCGAAGGTCTGCCTTCGCGTTCAGCTGAGGCATTGGGGATCGTGTACCTCCTCTCATGTGCTTGGCGTGCCCATGAGGTTCCGAAATCTCCAATCGGGGTTTGGGTCGCTACGCCGTTTCTTCACAGTGACAGGCTTTGTATTGGAGTGCATGGCATATGGTCTTCTTTCACGGTATGGGCTCCATTGCTTGTGTTGGGCATCGGCTTGTGTTCGGCAGGTGTGGTATTGAAGCCCTGTCCTGTCTTAAAGCTTTCGTTGCGGAGGCATTCGGGCGGATGGTTCCTTTGTTCTTTGTTATTGTTTCTCGTCCAAGCCGGTCCGGCTGTGAGCAGGAATAGCGTTGATGGTGGTTCTGCACGAATGAAGTTGCAAAGTGATTTCCCCTTTCAAAACACAATCGTCGTCGGCATGACGCCACGTTCCCATGACGCAGGTTGCTTGTCACTGGGCGTCTGGCTCCTCATCTCTTTTCGAGGCCCTGGAATCCACAACGGAATCTGGACTCTTTCGGCGCTTTGGCTCTCGCATGTTCCGAGGCTATCCTGCACGAGCAGCCCGACCAGCTATTGGCCCGGAAAGTCGAAGGTGATGGGCCGTGATCCGGGTTCTGTTGGGCGATGCTGGACGGCTAAGGTTCAACACCTTGAAGGAAGTGTGCCTATGCAGTCCGCCCGATGGTTTCATAGCCTGTGTTCTTGAATTTCGGACGCTTCCTTCCTGCGCAGGACTTTGGAACTCTTGAGCTCAAACGGGGCAAGCTGGAGAAAGCCAAAGATCTGCCGCTTGAACTTTTTGTGAGCCTGATTTCTGATTCCAGATCTTGGAGATGCTAAGGCTTTCTCATGCCCTGCGAATTCGCCGTGCCCATGGGCTCCCAAACCGCATTGCGCTTGTTTGGTTGGATTGTTGCTTCCAAGGACCGGATCATAGCGGCCTACTCTTGAATATCGCGCGGGTCCAAAAAGCTTCGTTAGTACGGCCGAATATTTAACTATGGCCAGCACCCCGAGGCAACCCTGCTCCACCAGTGTGGGCCTGAGCATGTAGGGAACGCGAATGATTCTGGTGTCTACACAGCGGGGCACTGCAAGCCCTTTCTGCTGACATCCGGAAAACGCCCGCACAGACATTCCGCCAGCGGCAGGGACAGACGTGCACACGAGAGGTCCGTAGCCCCATGCCCCAGCAAACAAAGCGCGCGTTCAAGCAAGCAAGCGAGAAGGTCTTGCAGCCCGTGAGCGCGGTGGGTGGGCGGTGTAAGCAAGACGGAAAACTAACTCTGTTGCAAGCAGGGGGGGTGTCTACATTGCTCCTTCCTCCAAGCCCTACAACAGAAGAAGCCGATCAGCAGTTAAAGGGGTGGCCGCCGGCGGTTGGTGACATTTGAAACTGCAACGCCCGGCGAAAAGAAGAAAGACTGCAGCATGCTGCAGCGGAGATTCCCGATGCCAGGTCCAAAGAAACGGCTGAGGCAGAGGCGATGTCCGCGCCTGAAACGCTCCGGCTCCGGCTGCTGCATGAGCACCAGCTCTCGGTCCTGTCAGGTACCGAAGGGCGTGCGCATCGGCCAAGGCCTGTGAATTTGTGGTTCAGACTGCTCGTCGCGCGACATAGAATTGAGCATCGTTTTCTACTGCTGCCGGAGGCGGCCGTGGAACTATGTCAAGGCATGTGTGTGGGGAGGTGCTTTAAGCAAGAGTTGACTGACTTACAGTATGTGGCATGACAATAGCTGATGCTCAGGCACCTGATATTATGGCGTTCGTGTCAGGGAGGAGCTCGGTGATTTGATATGCATTTGCGGCAGGGTGCCAGCCGGCAGCCACGGAGCTAGCAAAAGCTCATGCTAACTATGGTGGACTGCTGCTGCAGCGTGGGACTTAATGATGCACTGAAAATCGAGTGGAGACCGCGATTAAAGCATGCTACATGCAGGTCGGGACGGCATGTGGATGCCGCAAAGGTTCTGGAGGTCATTTTCTAGCAAACTGGTGTGCTGTGGGCTTGTGCTGCGGGCTGTGTTGTGAAGATTTTAGAAGGCCGGTCAGCCGTGGGATGGTGCGGTGGACTCCGCCGATGGCTGATGGTTCCAAGAGCAGCGTATTTTGTGCTTCCTGCAGCTCTCCACGTCCCGAGGCTCGCGGGCCGGGATTCTTCCATCTCTGCCTGGCACATCGTGGGCTTGGTCGTCTGGAAAGCCTCACTCCCAGGATTTTGAGTGGGGAGCACAGCTCTGAACACCGCAGTGGACAAAGACACCTGACGAGCTCGACCGAACACTACTTGTAGGTATCAAAGACAACGGTTTGGCTACGTTGGGGTTATTGATCTGCGGGTTGAAATCAAGTCGAGCTGACACACGAGGGGCAAGGTGAAGAAAGGAAGCCCACCGGGCTGGAGTCTGCATCTCACGCCCCCGCGTATTACCCACGCCTCACTCTGCTAGTGTCTCGGGAATTTCCCCCCGCGTATCCTGCAGCAACCATGCCAAGATCAACGAGAACCCAACATCCGGGACGGTTGTACGCAAAGAATTGACAGCAGGTGCATTGAGGAACTGCCACACTGCCGCCGCCGCTCAAAGCCAGCCGGCACAGGCTCGATCTCCACGAGTGAAGTGACATGTTGGCCCTTTGGCTTTTCAACCGTCTCCTTGATTGGTTGATCACTCTTGTATCGCAGCCAGATTGCTTCGGTTTTATCGATGCTGACACCGGACGGTTTCTCGCCATCACGAGAGCATAAGGGAGAACCGTGACATACAGTGTGGATGGATCAGCCAAGTCGGTTGCTTCAAAGAAGTGGATGTAATACCCACTTCAACCCCCCTCCAATATACCACTATAGTTATGCAATCATGTTGAGTAGTTTCGAAATAACCCCTGTGTGTCCCATGGCAGATGCATGTTGCTGCATGGGTCTGGCTGCTGCCTGCAACAGTCAACGGTGTGTTGACGGAATGGAACGGCAGCTGCTCATCGCCACAGCTCCCAGCCGGGCAAGCAGAATTGTCCGAGTAGCATCCTCATCCAAGCCCGCAGCACGCAGCCAAGGTTCATTTACCTGCTGCACGGCGCATCGGTGCTCGACACCTCCACACTTCAGGATCGCTCGAATCGCAATGAGGCTGCACTTGGTTTGTTTCCCATGCAGCATCAAGCTGCAGGCCAGTCCGTGCAGCTGCATTGTATGCACATAACATCACATCGGAAGCAGCACATGCAGGTTCTTGTGTGCAGGCTTCCGTGGTGTTGCTGGGACGCCATGTAGCCACGCCCCAAAAATCCGTTGCAGCTGAGGGGACGTTCTGTGGCTATCTTTCGACCAGCAATACAATGGAGAGTACAAGGACATCCCCACCTCAGACGTGCTGTACGAACCGCAGGCACACTGCAATTCTGGGTGTCGCAGTAGCATCCTGGAAGGAAGTGATCGGGGGTTGTGAATCGTGCTGTCTTGGCTGTCTCAGCTCCCAGCTGCTTGCCTGGCAGGCCTGGTGGGGCGAGGGTCGAAACCTTCTTCTGGAGGCTGCTTTGCACCGTCGGCACCGCCCGTGCTGGCCTGGTTATCTGTGCCACGACTGCTATGGGGAGTGAAGAGCGCGGACCATGCCTAGAAGCTCGAGTCAGAGTAGCAGACATCTAGTTGGGCAAGTTTCTTGCCCTGCCGGTAGCCGGTAGTGTCCACCTGGACTCATGCTTTGTTGCGGAAATCTATCTTCCACGACATGCTGCAGGCTAGACAGTTCTTACAAAGCAGACTTCTCGAAAGGTACTTCGTTTTCCTTGATGATGACATGCTGGCGATGGTTCCGCAGACAGGCTCATGGACTAAGTTCGAGAAGTTCTTGCTGGAGGAGCTGCCGGCCGTCGGTTACATCACCCGGACTCGGCACTATCATTCGCTTGGAAAGGGTCGACTGCTTGAGGGAGTCTGAGTTACATGCGGAGCATGGCATGTGTGGCAGACATTCGGCTCGCGGATGTGCTTCTTCGGAATGCTGAGGCAAGGCGACACGGGGCTCGCTCTTCAACGTGGACCACAATGCTTTAGCTTTCCACCGCGCCTGAGTTGCATGCAAGAGCGTCAATATCTAGAATCTAGAATCTAGGAATCCAGGCATTTATTTCGCATGCTCGACTTTGAAGAAACAAATGCAGGCCACACGCTTGGCTCCCTGTTGCCGTACTGCGACTTCCTGAAAAGGTCATGCTTTGCCTGCCACAGCTGAAAAATCTGTCTGGAAGTGCGGTATCCGTGGCAGGAACGCCGTCGGCTGGTCCGGTGCCATCCTGACGCTTCAGCTAGGAGCGCCTTGGCGAGCCGACGGGAACGGCAATGCAAGAAAGTGCAAGGACACTCTCCGCTGCGACGTGTCGCCTCGAGCCTTAGCCCAGGTCCTATACTCCAACAGCCGAATCGGCTTGAACACGATTCGGGCTGAATCTTCGGCAAAACAATGACTAGGCAATTGGAGTCTAGTCAGTTGAAGCCCGAATACATCCGCTTGCGCCAGAATTTTGTGTGCTTCAGAGAGCAGCCGATGAGCCGATGCTCTGGCATCTCTGCACCTGCTTCTTAGGACTTAGCGCAGAACCTCCACAGACCGTACAAGAGAGGTGGTGGAAGCTATGCATTCGACCTGCTGAAGCAGCGCTTCCAGGGTGAGATGCTGTACCTGATTCTTTGCCCAAAGCTGAAAGCGAGCAAGATGTGTGTGTGTGTGTGTGTGTGTGTTTATGTGCGTGTTTGTGTATCTCAATATATACAGATTTATTATTATTGTTATTATTACTATTATTATTATTATTAAGATCATGATCATTATTATCATAACATATATATATATATATATATATAATATATATATATATATATATATATTTTTTTTTCACACACTGACACTTGGGAGACTGAGGAGCGATGAGCTGCTTGAAGCGTACTGGGGTCAAATCGGCACGAAAGACAGCAGGACGTTGCCTCCTCAGTGTGTGGCAGGCATACTCGAGACATGTCTGAGTTTGAGAGCAATTGCCGTTACCAACTAAGGTTTTGCAACTACAATTACAATGCGTGCCTGAACTGCATTCGCGGCATGGAGCCATGTCCAGCTCTGGGCCTTCGGTGGAAGTGCCAGGTCGCGCAAACCACCAGGACAGCAACCTGCCGGCCCGATAAGTATTGCGTGGCTGTGCCCGGTCTGATTGGACATGGCCAACACTTGGCTGTCCGGTGTTGTGCCAGAGCTGTGAGAGATGAGGATGCGACACATCAATGTCTCACATCCCTGTGGTCGGGCCTCGGGGCGGCACGATCACCTGCTTGAGTGGTTCCAGCGCTTCGGAACACGCCGGGTAAGGTAATGTTTGCCTTCCTCAGAAAGCACTCCGGCTATTTGGAGACGCTGCGGGCAGGGCAACCTGCGTTTGAGGCCAGGGCAGCTTAGAACAACCGGCCAGAGCAATGGGAGTCTGGAAGCTAGCCTCTGTGAGCTCGTCAGGCAGACTCTGCCAACTTCGACGGTATGCCTCACTGTCAGTGGAATTTGAGGCACACATTGCACGTTGGCATTCTTATTCCCACGCACTGCTCGACCGCTTGATAGAAACAAGGCCCTGGGTCGGCGGCAGTTCTGGAGTTTCAGTCCCACATTCGCAGCTTAGAGGGGGGCAGCTTGTCCAATACATGATCTTCATGTCGTCGCCTTAACTTCGGGTTGTCCTGAGGTAAGCAAGGATGTTGAGAGTGGTTGGTGCCGTGGCTCGGCCGTGCAAGCAGATTGACATGCCGTTGGCAGAATTCTGACATGACTTGGAAGAATGTAGCAAGTCGGCATGTTTTCCTCCCCTCAGCTGCTGGTCTGGGTTCTCGGTCTTTGTGGCGATGTTGTAGCCACGTCATTTCCCCTCATCCTTGTGCTGTATATGATATGCCAACGCACATGCATGCCGGTGTTGTCTTTCGGGTGGCACTCTGGCTGTGAAGTATCCGGGTATCAGCATCTGCAAGAAGTGCAGCTGCGCAGGGCGGTAGTCCACTGCTGCCCAATCGCTCCGGCAACGGAACATGCACCCGGCCGGGTTGCATCCGAGCTTGTTCTCAGCCGGGATTCTTGCCCCGCAGCCTTTCAACCTGCGTCCAGGGCATGCTCTGCATCATGTGATGTAATTACTCTGATTGTCTGACGAAGTAACTTCGCGGAGTTCAATCATCTTCCAACCCATGGGTCGGGCCTGCTTTGCGTCTCTCTGGGAGCTGTGTTTTGCCATTGCTGATTCACGTGTTCAACGTGCTGGCACATGTACAGCTGCAGCCCAAAATGTCTGATCGTGCTTTCTGTCACATGGTCTGGGGGGCCCTTAGCGCGGGTTAAAAGACAGCGAAATTGTCTGACTTTCTCGCAGTTCGCCGTGTGCAAACCTCCGTAATTGTTTCGTTTTCATCAAGATGGTATCTTTTTGTGGGATGTTCCTGATTTCTCTTCCTTCTGTTCTGCCTCCTCCTGTGTCAAGCCTACAGGACCCGACATCAAGAGACCCTGATCTGGCCTGGCGTGTAGTAAAGCCATTTCGCTCTCAAGTGCTGCAAGGTGGAGGACAGCAGAAGGGTGAGCTGTGCTGCTCACCAGATTGTCCAGTTTGCGGTGGCCCCTTGTGTGCAGGTGCCTTTGCACACGGACTCCGGGCGTCTACGGAAAGCATGAACGCATGTCTTGCAACTGCACAGGCCACTGCTGTGGCGGTCATATCCAAGGCCGTGGTGCCTTGGCCCTCACTTGCTCGAACGTGTGCCGAAAGACAATCACTTGCACGGAAAAGCCTTCTTGGGACGAAGATACCCGACGTCACTCGACAGGGATTCAACTACTTAAAGCCACGACTGGCTCTCACTTAGTCTGCGGAACGTGGCAGCTGCGCATCCATGCCGTAAGGCTCGTGTCTGCACGTTGATCAACACACGTGCCTGGTGCCTGAGCGAGCGAAGTAGCAAGTTGCATGAAGTTACGGAGGTGCTGAGCCTTTGCAAGCTGTAACCTTCGTTTCCTGTACAGCTGAAAGCTGCTTCTGACCTTTCGGCCAACAAGAGTGTCAATCGGCTTGACAACTTCCGGCTCTGCATTGCCAAACGCATTCTGACGACACAGCGAGCGCAGGCATTGCTGGGCCAGTACGAGGCTGAGGCAGCACCGTCTTGTTTTCTGGAAGTTTCTATGGGTTCTGTGATGTTCACGTTTTTCTCGTTACACGTGCGGGTGGGACTGGCTCTCATCTTCGAGGCGAACCACGCGATATGTGAACTTGCTTGTCGTTGTGTGCGAATATGTTCCATGGGTTCCAGTGCAATCGTACCATCCATTTCGATTCTGGGCAGGGTTTGTAGCGCCCTAGGGCAGTAGGCCTTTGCAGTTGTCCGCACAGTGCGGCAGGTGCAGATCCTGGGTGTGCGCTGATCTAGGGCTAGGTCAGGCCAGAATCTGCATCCTGTCGGCAGAAAAAGTGTCTGAGATCACACTTCACACTGGCTTTTGTTACGAATGGCCATGGCTTTCGGGAGTCAAGAGGCTAGCTTACTACCATGTCGGACTCGAGTTTTCGGTGCGAAGATTCCTGAGAAGCGATTTAGTCGGCTCTCGGGGGATTCGGATAGTGACAATGGTTTCTGGCATCTCTACTTTTTCGAAACTCCCGCCAGCAGTGACGAGCACATCTCATCTCGAGCTTCGCGAATCTTGGCAATCTCTCACCTGCCTTGCTATTCACGAGTTTTTGTCACGTTAAGGCCATGACGGAACCTGTCTCGTAGTCCTTGCATGATGCAAAGCCACACATCGCAACTTGTGGGCGTCCTGTGCTGTCGGCTTTGTGCAAAACTTGCCGCAGTTCGGGTTCGATGTCCGAAGGGTTGGAAGGATTCACAGGCTGTGGCCGGTTGGTAGTTGTGTACAGGCAGTTTCACTCGCGAGTGCGGGCCGAACGAGATGTAGGTGTATGGAGACAGCCCCGCTAGTCTTTGGCTCGAACCCTTTTTAGCCAGAGGCCGGATACCTAGTAGTGGCCCTCGGCAGCCGCAGGCGATTTGCAAGGCCAGCCAAGACCCATGGGGAGTTCTTCACGTCTTCGAAGTGTTAAGCCGAGGCTGGTGTAAGGATCGTGTCAGAGACGAACAAGATGTCGCCTGGCGCCGAGAGATCGTCTTGCTTGGGCTTTGTACGCAATCGGAGCTGTCTGAGTTTGGCAACCAAAACAATCCATCACTCTGCCCATGCTCAGGAGTGAGCTCAGGATTTGCGAAGGCCAGCGGCCTGGACAGACATGCGCTTTAATGCGGACTGTTCATCCGAGGAACGTTTTCACAGCAGCTCTCCCCAAATCAGTGTTTGTGCATTTCGTTTGCTAACTGCACGACAGAAGAAGGCAAACAAGTTCTGTAATACCGTGTTGGTGCTGGTTGTTTCGCAGGCTTGACACGTAGCCGGAGTTCTCTTAAGCACTCTGTCAAGGGTGTTAGCCGCACATGATGTGAACAGCCCTCCACTCCTGCCCTTCACATGGTTCGTAAGGCCACTAAGCCTGGTACGGGAAGTTGGCACTGGAAGTTCCAGGTGGCTCCGGGATTTGGCTACCGCTCGGTGGTGACTGGGAGCGAGCCACAGCCTCGGAATACCTGGAGCTCTTGCAGCTTGCAGCCGACAAGTTCGGGACATGTCCTTGAATCTGCTGATGTGCTGGTGCAGGGTCCTTTCGGGTCCCTTTCGGGCTTCGTTCTGCGTGGATCAACGACTGCATCTGAGGACTGGCCCACTGGGGTAAAGGCGCACTTCCCAGTTGCCGACAAAGACACAGCGGTTGACATCATCGTTATCTCACTTGTGATCGCCTTCTGTTTGTTGTGGCTGTGTGCTAGTCTGAATATTGCTATTCTGGTGTTGACGTTGCCATGATGATTGTTGCTGATGCAGTTGTAGGTTGGAAATGCCCTTGTTTTTTGACCTCATCTTCGATAGACGCAGTCGGTCCCCAGCAACGGAAATCAACCAACAAGTTCGTCTTGAGTACATCATATCGCTGCCAAACCTTCGAAGCTTCTGCGGAAAGGCTGCTGCTGTTCGCTACTTTTGATGGCCTCAACCTCCTACATGTGTAGAGGCATGAGCTTTTCTGCTTGTTCGGTTGCGTGGGCTCCCATCTCTCTCCTTGAGCCTCCTGGCCTTTGGTGTGTTGGTTTCCTCTTGCATGGAGCTAGACTCAGAGGATGCAGGTTTGAGTTGGAAAGAGCTGCTCAAACGCTCGCAGAGACTGCTGTTCGTCCTCTCATGGTGGACTGAGGTGGCGCTTTATTTGCTTGGCCTGCTCTACTGTTTTCTGGGAGTGGCCATCATTGCCGACGTGCCCAAGCTGCAGTACTGCGTAACCTCGATTGACTGCCGTCGTAAGCCCAAAACCATGACAAGTCCCGTGTCGTCTGCATTTTGCAACCTGGACAGTCGTTCATGGTTGACAAAGAAGAAAACAATTCAACGGATCTTCCGTTACTCATGCAGAATATGATTTCAGAGTTTTCCGATTGGTTCGGGTGCCATCCGCGAGCTTCAACAACTACTGCTAAGCCTTCAGAGACTCGCCCCATGCGTTTCAGCCGCACGATCATCCAAAGAGGTCAAAGCCAAGTACCAATGACATATTGCAATCATTGCCTCCCTCTACAGGAGCGAAGCACCTCGTGCATTGCCACACTTCTCTGTTGCCCGTCAAAAGGTCACGGTGGCGTGGACTAGTCCGAAGTACCCCAAGACCAGAGCCAACGAAAGGGACATGAACGGAAGAGAGGTAGAGGAACTGCTTGCTCAATTCCGGAGGTTTTCATGGCCTCCATCGAGAAGGTCACATCAGTGAAGAAACAGGTCACGAACAAGGAGACTGGCAAAAAGACCACTGTGAAGGTACGCGAGTTTCTTCTTTCAGTCCTACAACCTGCCCATGTTGTGCTGTCGCGTATGTCGCGTAGGTGTGGAATGACACGGTGGCGAATTTGACGCTCATGGCCTTGGGTTCCAGTGCTCCGGAGATCCTGTGGTGCCCTCAAGTTTTCTGAGCATATCATATGTGTCCAAGAGCCTTGAAGTTAGCAGCTCAGCAAGTATAGAACCCAGCATCCCACTGGCGCAGCTTCTGAGGTTAAGCATCATTGAGCTGGCAGGCATTCCCATCTGCTGCATCCGGCAGTTTCTGATGTCACATATGTACTTATATATGCACATACACATACATCTACATTTACATATACATATACGTATACATATGTAAATATGTTTACACATATGTATATATATACACATACACATTTTTGTATACATACATGCGCACTAAGACGAAGGTATATCATGGGGGGTGACGATGGATAGATAAATATGTATATATATATATACATACATACATACACATGTATGTTGATGTTGAACATCGAAAACCATGCAAGAGCTCTTAGGATGATACCTGTGATTACACCGGCTTGTCTTCTAGTAAATTTCGTGATGAAGGTGCGAACTTCTACTCCGGTTCCTTGGGTGCGTCTACAATTGCACCTGCCTTGGTCTGATTGTGCTTCACCTGCGGCAGATGGTTTTAAGACCCTCGCTGTCCCCCATCTTTGGTGTTGCATTCCCAGCTAATCTTCTCGAGGTTGGCAGCGCCGCTTTCAACCTCCTCGGCATTACTGCTGCACCTCGGCTTGTGCAGGTATAACCTACTTGTAGCTCAGTTTTGTGCCGGTCCGTTGACTACCGCGTACCTTGCAACCGATTCTCTCCTCGGATCAAGGAAACAATCTGAGATCTGGAACTGTGCAGGTCTGCATCGCAGCTCTCCCAGATGGTGAGATCAAGATTATCAAGGCACCTCGCTTGTGGTGTTCGGACAAGCTGCGCAATGCCGCGGAAGGTTGCATTTTTACAAATGTGGAAGATACGCGCGACACAGCCATGAACGATGCCGCGACTCATGTGACGGCTGCAGGACCGGAAAGTTTTCGCCATCACCGGAACCTTCTCGGTGTTTGCGTATTTGTCAGGGACTCAGGTTCGCAGGCTGGAACACAGCTCACTGCGGCAGAAAGTGCCCCCCGCCTGTCCGATATCATCATTTTCAGAGCACGAGGTTGCTTTGCCTCCCAGTGTGTTTAGGATTTCTGGCTGCAGGTGGCTCCTCATCATCCTCATGGTTTTCTCGCAGGCATGCTCAATCAAGCAGAGCTTGGGTTGTCTTGCGCATCACGCCTCAGCGATTGTAAAGCCTGGTCATGCACTGACTGACAGGTGAGAGACATGCCACATCCTCTCACCGAAAAGATGCAGTTGCAAGCATGTCAACTTTGCTTGCAGGATATGGTTGATCCCTGGGAAGGGGTCGTCACGTTTCTCTACTTCCCTCTATTGGTGATTTTGTCGTCCCTCCCTCAGAGCAGAGGTCGCCCCAGGGTTTCTGATTCAATCTGCAAGCTACGCACCGGATGCATACAGACATACATATATACGTACATACGTACATGTGCATAGATGCATATATGCATGGTCAGGCGTCTGGCGTTCCCAGCCCCCCCCCCCCCCCCCCAAATGGTATGGTCTGATAGGGGTTGGGGGGGGGGGCTACCATACCATTGGGGGGGGGGGGGCTGGCGTATGCGGAAAGGGGTTGGGGGCCGTTGGAGCTGCCACCGGATGGTGGGGTGGTGCTGGCGGCCAGGGCTCACGCGCAAGCCCTTCGCAAGCAAGCCGTAAACCCTATAACGCAGCGCATGCCCCTGTTTTGAGCAACCTTAACTTGTACTTAAAACGCTACACCCCTACACCCAACCCTAAACCCCACCTAACTGCAGGCTCTAAGCCTAAAGCAGAGCATACACCGCAAATCCTCCCAAAGCCCTTGTCGACTCGAAGCCTTGTACCTTGCAACCGTAAACCCAAAACTCACAAGCTTAAGCTAAACCCCAAACCCCAAACCCCAAAACCCCACAACCACCCACAGAGGGAAGAGGAACCCCACACCCCACAGGGGAGGGGGGGGCCGCACCCTATATCCGGACCATTGACCTTTGGGGGGGAGCGGGGGGGGCTGCGGAGCGCGTGACCATGCATACATGCGTGCCTGCACGCCTGCAGATTTTGGAAATGTATGTCAGAGCATCTGCTGTGTGTGTGTGTGTGCGTGTGTACAGATGGGGAAGAACAAACTGCCGGTGCCCTGACGTTTCCGCAGCGCCTGCTGTGACGCGGTGCACATCTTCGACTGAATTCGCACTCTTTCACACAGACCCGGGGCCCTCGCGAATTTATCAACTGCGCTGTGATCACAGCGTCGTGTATTTTGGTGTTTTTTTCGGGTGATAACTGTGCAGCGTTCGAAGCCCTTCCTGTCGTGTTTTAGTGTAGGATGCTTAATTGGTTGATGCTACTACACGACAGGCCGTATATGACAGAGAAGCCGAAAGGGAGCAGGTGTTGTACCGCTGTTTCATGCTACTCTCTTCATATACCATTGTCGTATGCTTCCGGAAGCTCCTCTGCCCGCGTATCACGGTAGTAACGGTAGCAACGAGCCGCGCCTGCCTTGTGCGAGTGTGCGAGTCGAAATAAAGTCCAGCAGGGCAAAACTATTCGCCTTCTTGGGGCTCCCTACGCGGTCTCCGTTTTCCACATTGTGGCGAATTTTCAATTTGTGCCTTGCGTGGTGTTGGGTGCGCATCCTCGTCTTCCCACTACCGTTTAGTGCGTGTCTGCCCCACGCAATTGCGATCCCGCCACAACGTGACTCGTGCTTCCGCATCAAAATCGTGCTCGAGCCGCTGTGTCGTGCCTGTTCTGGGCCCGCCGCAATGAGTCGTGCATTAGTAGTAAGCAAGTAGTAGGCTGGTTCTAGTAATGGGTACGCAGTAAGTAGTTCAGTAGACTGAAGCTTTTCGTCATCACAAGGACGACGAGCAACGTCACCAACCATAACCATAGCCAGAGCAACAAACAAAACCAACAACAAGTTGCAGCAAACACCAACAACCAGCAACAAGCAACGAGCAATACCCAACACGCAAGATGCATCGGCCAATAGCAATCAAAACCAGTCAACAATTGAACACACAACGGACAACCAACAAACAACCACAACAGCAACAACAGCAACAGCAGCAACAACAGCAACAGCAGCAGCAACATCAACAGCAACAGGAACACGAGCAACTGCAGCAACAGCAACAGGAACAGGAACAGGAACAGCAGCAGGAATAGGAACAAGAACACGAACAGCAACAACAACCACAACAACGACAATACCAAAAGAAGCAACAGCAACAGCGACAGCAGCAGCAGCAGCAGCAGCAGCAGCAGCAGCAGCAGCAGCAGCAGCAGCAGCAGCAGCAACCGCAACAACAGCAACTCCAGCAGAAACAGCAACAACGGCCAACACCGCCAACAACAACAGCAACAAGACCAACATAGCACTACAACCAACAACAACCAGTACACAAAAAACAAAAACGCCACAACAACAACAACAACAACAACAACAACAACAACAAAGGCAACACCAGCAGCAGCGGCAGCAGTAGCAACAGCAAAACAAACATCGAAAACAATGCAAACAACTGGCGAGAATATTGATAGTAATATCAAGAGCAGCGGCAATACCAACACCAACAATGTAGCAATACCAGCAAGGGCAACAATTGCTTGAACTTTTTATGGTGATGGTGATACTGCTGCTGATGATGAACCTAATGGTGAGGGCTGTCATGGTGATGACATTTGTCAGGATGATAGATGAAGATTATGGTGATGCTGGTCATGCTTGTAGTGATAGTGAGGGTCTTACGGGATAGTGAGGATGCTGCAAAGGAAAGCAAGGATGCCAGTGGTGGTGACGATAGGTAGCACGAGGGTAAAGTCTTCATCCGGAGGCCCAGTATACGGGGTCGCTCGTCAGCTTAATGAGTCGCGCTCCGGCGCAGTGCCGTGCGATGTTCTTGGGTGGCATTCCTGCTCCTGCCAAAATGGGCTTTGGAGGCTGTCAGGCTTTGAGGCTTTGGGGCAACAGGGAGTCTTTGCAGCCTTTTGCAGCGTTCGGTGACCACGAACGTGATGAGCCTTCACCTACTACTGCTACTTCTGATGTTGCTGCTGCAACGACGACGCCGACGACCACTACTGCCGCTGCTGCTGGTGCTGCTGCTGCTGCTGCTGCGACGACGAAAGACGACGACTACCCTGCCACTACCACTAGCAGTCACTAGCACTACGACGACTGCTACGGCTGCCACCATCACCACCACGACGATGACGGCTCCTACTCCTACCCCCTCATGACTTACTACATATCTTCAGGTACATGGCGGACATCGGCATGTTCGGCAAGACCCGCGAGCCCTCAAGCCACATCGTTTGGTCTGAGGCAGGACATGTGCTTCAGTCAACTGGTCCGCTGAATTGCTTCCTTCAAACCCGAAACTGGCTCCCAGCCTGTAATCCAGGGCTTCCAAGGAGTTGAAGTGGGGTTTGCGGTATGCTCTTGGAAGAGTGCTGCGAAGCCACCGTGCAACATGCGCGTATTTCTTGTCTGCGATGGAAACGACAACACAACCAGCCAGTCGCTTATTTTTCTCGCCGCCCGAGTGACCATGAGAAGGGGGCTCGTGACTGCTTGATGATCCCAACTTTGTTCGACTTGTGCTCTGTCGTGGTCGTCAAGTGTTGCAGTGCAAGATGGGCAAGAGACGTGGTTCGAGCGATTGGCATGGCTCCTAAAAGCAATGGCCTTCGTCACTTTTAAGGCAGATCTCCCGGTTGTCAGACAAGTTAGGTGTAAGTTCCTCCTCTTGATGCACAAGATCACTGGACTGGGCAATCCACTTTCGGATCATTTCGGTGTGGTGCTGGCCCAACACGTCTCCACTCGTCTCGAAGTTCTTTTGGACCTGAGCGAGAGGCTGCGGCAAGATCCTAGTCAGTTGACTGGGATGCTCCAGTTTACAAGAAAACATTCCGGAGACCACCTCGCAGCAAACTCGACCGTGATGTCATCTTATAATGAGGCTTCGCTCGGCCTCTACGTTGCGAAAGAGCCTTTCAGTCGAATTCGTTCGGAAAGCCACGTTATGCCGTCGCCGCGACAAGAGCACGTCAAGAAGAGTCTGCTAAAGAGCACGATAAGAGCTCGAATCTGCTGCACTGCTGAACTCCAAAGTTACTAAGTTGGCCCTGGTATGCAGCATCGACATAGTCGCACCTACTGCACAAGCCGGCCGAAGTATGTCTTCTGAATAGCACAGAAGAATCGGCAAGACGGATGCGGCTGTGAACGTTCCGAAGTCTGCTTTCCCGTGTCGTGTCTGAGCGTCGGTCGCCCTACGGAGCTAGTTTATGTGAACCGCGTGCCCTATCTAAGAAGAATCCCGAGGACATCTAAGGACCCAAGGCCCCACCCAGGACAACTGCCCTAGACTCCCGGCTGAAACCCGAGAGCCCTTGATCTCACAAGACCCGGTGCTCGCTGTGGCTTGGGATGCGGGAGCTGAATATGAGATCTCGGTGTGGGAGTGTCTAGACATTCGTAGCAAGCTGACGTTTGCAAAGGCGTCGTGACCGGTTTCCTTCAGTCTTAGTCAATCGGTTTCGAGAGCACAAAGTTGTGAGGCATTGCCGCTCGTGCAGTGTGTTAGGCATAAGCCTCGGACTTCGTGCGGAGGCCACACCCGAACAGCTGGCAGAACTCATGATGCAAGTGCGACGAGATTTCGGTGGTCTCACCCCCAGCTATCGGGGGGCTGGGTGGCTGCTTTGATGTGTCGTTTGCATGGCGTGAATTGCATGTATGTTGCCTGGATGCTGAGATAACCTGAGCCAGGAGCAGGCACGTGCTTTTCTGACTAGATACACTGGTGTGCGCAATGGGCAATCGCTGCATCGGTATGTCGTGGGTTCCCTCAAAACTTAGGGTGCAGTTGTGCCAGCATCGAGGGTCCATGGCGCTTAAGCGCGAGTTCTGCATCGCAGTAGCTTCTTTGGTGGCATTGGGTGACTCTGCCAGATCTTGGCTGCTTTGCACTACGAGAGCCACAAGCGTCGGAGCCGAGCACAGTCCGCCCCGGGTTTGGGTCATGGGGCTAAAGGCTGTTAACCCGTGGATGCACTGTCGTTTTGGGTTCGCATGTCTGCATCTGGAAACAAAGGCCGCCCTGGTGGCAGTTCTGGCCTGTAGTGCGGCCACAACTAGTCGAAACTGGTGCAGGTTCGTCTTTTGCATCTTTCGGATTCAGCCCCCTCACAGCTTGCAACAGGATTATAAGACATTGGGTCGGTGTGCGGCTTGCCGGAACCAAGCGTGAGCTCCGAACTGCCAGGTACCGCGTTGCAGCCGTGAGGGATATCTCTGCAGGGAAAAAGGCGGGTCGACTTCGGCGCAGTTGCCTTCTGTTGCGTTTTAGCATTTTGGGGCTGCTCAGCTTTGTGAAAGGATTCAGGTCCCCACACGCATAGCAGCTTGAGATGTGCTGGCTCAATCTTTGACATCTTTCGTGCAGGTGTTGGGTATCAACGACAAGTTCCGAGAGCAGCTGGCACCTTCCTTACCCCACCTTCTGCCGACGGTTTGCGAATACCCTGTTCATTGCTGATTGCCGCTAGGGCCACCGGCATGATCTTCCATTTGTTGCAGAGAAAAGAGAGTCCTGCTTCCTAAGGAAGCAACAAGAACCCTGACCAGAATGACTAACGACAACAAGCCGACTCGCACGGCTGCTCCGGCCTCGGCGACGTGTCGTTTCTGCTTTCATCTTGAAGGAGTCGGCATTGCTGAAAGGCGTCTGGTGCTACCGTCGAGTTCGTGTCGTCACAGTATTCCGCAGGGAGCCCAGCCGAACTTTGCGCCCTCCCCATCTAGCTTGCGCGCACAGTTGCTCTGGGCGCTGGATGGCTGGCTCGGATCCCGCTTTGCAGCCTCCACTTGCTGCCTTCGTGCCAGGTCCTTGAGAGCGTCGGTACTGCCAAGTTTGGCCTGGCCCGCACCGGCGATTGCTCAGTTCCTGTAACAGTGCCCTGTGCTTGCTGCCGAAATCGTTCGGGCGGCGTTTGTGTAAGTTCAATGTTGAACGGTTGGCCCCAATGAGGGCTGGCATGCCTTATGTGATGTCGTGAGTTGCTGAACCCTCGTCTGACTTGTCGAGCACGAGTGACAAAAAGTTCACTGGGACGGATATCTTCCCTGCATTTTCCCCCGCCAATGGTGCATGGAGGTACTCTGGCGCACTCGTTGTGGCAGCGCCAAAGCCGGGAAAGACTTCAAGATGCAGGTTCTACGCACGACACATAAATCAATCAAAGCTGTCAGCAAGAGGGCAGACTGTGCTTTCCAAAGCCTTCATCCTGCACGTCATCCGCCGTTCAGGGTAGTGTTCTTGCGTGGGGGATCGCAGGTGTCAACCACGACAGGTTAACCGTAGGTCAAGTACTAATCTCACACTTGTGTGCGAGGAGGGCAACATCCTTTTCGAGGAGGGCGACACTGAAAAGGCTTGGAATAGTTTCAGCTGAATTTTGCTGGCTGTCTTGCTTGTATATGGCCACCAGACAATGCATTTTCTGGTTTGAGAAATGCAGGACTGGACAAGGACTTGATGCCTTCTTTTGTGGCTCAGATAGGGACTACGACCCAGCTAGGATATTAGATGCTTCGAGCCTACAGCCTTCGACAGATTGCTCTTCCCAGGTTGCCCACCGGTTGACAATTCTAGCATGGCATGAGTCAGCAACTTCTGCAATGTAAGTCTAATGTAGGTGCTGTGCCCTCGCGATGGATGCTAGTATCGAGCGCCTCAAGAGGGACCATCGGCCTGAACAAGACCTGGCCCTGCAGGGGTTCGCTGTTCTCGATTTGGAGCTGGATGTGCGAAGCCTTGAGAGTTGTCAGAGAGACGCCGGATCCCTGCGCCGTCACCTACACAGTCCACCGGAAGAGCTTTTGGACTCCTTCCTGGGCAGGCGAGGGTCAGCACGCTGTTGTGAGATCCCATTTGATGGGCCACCAAGCCGTCGTGTGCGCCTGGAGAGCTTGCGAGAACTCAGCAGGAAAGTGGAGACTGCAGTGGGTTCCGTTGACAGGCTGAACCACTTGAGCTGCATCCTGCATGAAACAGGCACCTGGGACCGTCGGTCTGCTCCACCCTTGCAGGAGTCTGACGTAGAGAAATGGCTTCCGCGTCTTATGGCCGGGACTTTGACAGCGATTGTTGCATTGGGTCCTTCTCCAGCGGAGGTTGAGCTCCAATGTCTCAGCAATGAACTAGCTGTAATTGAAGTTGTGGATGAAGAGGCTGCTAATGCCGATGCGGCAGACACTTTGGGTTCGGAGAAGGAGGAGGAGTCAGAGGACGAGAAGCCTCCAACTAAACTTGTCAGTACCGAGTTCCCCGCAAAGCCACACCGGATATCGCTGCATTCTGGCAGGCTGTTGCTTGTTCGATCCAGCTTGGTGTGGCAGACTCTAGCTGGCGACGCCGGCGACTTTGTCATATCTTGGATGTTTGGAAGTAAGCCAGAAGTTGACTGGGCAATCCTGAACAAGCCACATGGCAGCCAGGCACCGGGCCTCCTGCAGCTAAAAGCCTGGCTGAAGAAGCGTCTCGAGCAGCGCAAGGAAAGCCAGAACCATCGGAACAGGGAATCTGAAGCTTCGGAGTGGCGAGTCATGGTTCCATACGTATACAAGTTGAAGGCCCCGCGGGCCCCTACCTCAGGAGCCCCCCGCCTGGAGGTGTTCTCCAAGGGTGAGGTTGTTCTTGGGGCCATGGAGTCAGTTGATGGAAGCCTCTGGTTAAAGACTCAGTCGGGCCAAGCTGTTGATGGCCGGCCAGTCACAGGGTATATTGCAATTGAAGCTGAAACGGAGCAGGCCATGCAACCAGTGAAAGATTTCCTGCCAGCCTGGCAGGCTTTGTGTGCCCACATGCCAGCGGAATCATCACACCAAATCGTCGTTCGAGCTGCATCCTGCAAGTTCGCCACTACACATCAAGTGCGACAGTTCTGGCCTCCACACCTTGCCGGAGCTGACTTTTGTGTGGAGGTTCCGCTCGCAAGATGGGATCATGCGGAACACTTCTCGGAGGATGGAAGTGAGAGCGACAAGGCCCTCTGCAAGCACGGTGCCTTCATGGATGGAGCAGAACTCTTCGACAACAAGCGATTCCAGATTCCGGCTGCGGAAGTCATATCCATGGATCCACAGCAGAGGATGGCTTTAGAATGTGCGGAGGAAGCTTTCTTCAACATGGGCCTGACCCGAGAGATGCTTTCCAGATCAGTCTCTGGAGTTTATGTCGGTGCGGGCATGCATGAATGGCCCGGCACCCCAAACTGCGCTCGAGATCCTGCTGCTGACATGTACTCATGCACTGGCGGTAGCACAGCAATTCACTCGAATCGCATTTCCTTCAATTTGGGTCTCATGGGACCTTCGCTGACTGTGATTTGTGAGGGTGCATCATCCCTTCTGACGCTAGAGCGTGGCTTCGTGTCTTTGGACCCGCAAAAGTCAGACAATATACGTGCATTGTCCATGGGCGTTTCCACGATGCTTGTTCCGTCAACTTGGGTACACCTGTCGCAACAGGGCGTAATGTGGCATGTTGGGGGACTCCATGGACGCTGCAAGGCTTTCGCCAATGAGGCAGCAGGTTATGTTCGCGGGGAAGGCTGTGGGTGTGTGGTTCAAGAGGTCCTCCACAAGAGTGACGGGTCAGAGGAGAACTTTTTGGGAGCCGTGCGCAGTGCATGCTCAAAACACCAGCCCATTGCTGGTCTCCTGGATGCCCCGAGCGGCCCTGCAGAGCAGTTGCTAGTTTCGGAGACTTTAAGACGTGCTCAGCTGGATCCGCTTTCGATAGACGCCATCGACTGCAACGCAGAAGGACGTCAACTGTGCGATGCCATAGAGATTGCAGCTATCTCCGATGTCTTGTGTCCGTCTGACGGCGGCAATGACTCGCAGATTCGCCCATTGACTCTAACGTCCTGCAAGTCTAGCCAGGCCCACTGCCTTGAGGCTGCTGGTATATGCTCACTCCTGCGCATCCTCATGAGCACAAATACCAGATGTCATGTTGCACCCAACCAGCACTTGTACACATTGAATCCGATCCTCTGTTCAACATGCGAGTTCGATGACTTCTTGTGCCAAGTGCCAACGGAGCTGGTGAAGTCTAGGAGTCGAGATTCAGTCATCGGCGTAAAGGGCCATAGCATCGCTGGGACGATGGGCTTGGTGCTTGCCTCGATCACACAACGCCAGCCCAAGCAGAGAGAAGGGTCCCCCGCAACTCAAGCTCTGCCATTCTGGCCATCTGGGAACGTTCCTTTACCTGCACACGCTGATGCGCAGAAGGGCTATGAGCTCCTGGGTTCCTGGAATGGCTGGAAGGCTTCTATTCAGATGCGGCAGGGCACGTCCGGTCGCGAACATGTGTGGGCAGCTGAAATTCCTGTCAATGGGGGAGGATTGGTGAGCTTCCAAATCCTGCTGGATGGAGATCCAGAAAAGATCCTGCACCCCGGCTCTGTGGCTGCAGGACCAAACACGCGCGTCTTGGGGCCACATCCCTCAAGTCAGGTGGGTCATTCGGTGTCTTGGTGCGTTGCGGCCCCACAGGAGGTCATGTGCCAGGTTGAGCTTCACATTTCGGGTTCGTGGCGTGCAGTATCTTGGTTTCTACGTGCCGGCTCGCAGGTCGACAAACATGTGACTTGATAGGTTGAATCGCGAGCCTGCGATGTGCCGGTTTCTGGCCTGCAGAAGGAAAAAGCTGACTGCAGACTCGATGCACGAAAAGCATGCTTGTGTTAGGCGATCCGGTCGGGCAATCTCAAGCACTTGAAGCTGTGCCAGGTTGTCGAAGTTGAAATCATTGATGATGATGACTACGAGGATGATCAGGAGACTGCCCCGGGGATTTCGCTGCCCGGCCCGGGTTGAGGTTCTTTTCTGCGGCATCTGGGGCTGTCTCGATTTCTCATGCCCCAGGCAGGGCTGGATTGCTGGAAGCCTGTAAGGCATAAAACGGAGGATTAGGAGAGCTCAAAGGGTGCTGCACTCTCTTTCGGATTCCCTTCTTTCAATTTCAGCTTTCTTCAGCCTTCTGCGTCAATCCGATGCTTCTTCTTCAGACGTCCGGCCCCAGCCTGTGACTCAAAAAAATGGGCTCCAGATCCTGGAATGCCACCGAGTCTCCCCTCTTTCAGCGATTCCGTCCAGGATTCGAAAGAGGCTCGTCAGACAAAACCGTTAGACTCGAATTAGGAAGTTAGTCTGACAGTAGTCTTTGAGTGAGCAGAGACCTATTGCCCAACTATCATCATCAGGCTTGTGCGGGCACCGTCAATTCTACGTTCAGTAATTATGTATCGGTGCACTTGCAATGCAGACAAGGACCAGATAGACCCGCAAAATTAAGCTGTCTTGCTTGTTGCCTGACGTTCTCTGTGCAGGAGTTCTACATGGAGATCTGCTCTGCTGTGGCCACCGGCAATGTTGAAGCCCACATCGGAGAGAAGAAGGAAGCGACTGTGGTGACCCTGGCAAATTGCTTCCGCAGGTGTGTCTCAACGTCGGTGCCATTTGTCTCGTTGCCACCTTCTCTTGACACTGTGGGCTATCGTTTTTGCTCACCTCGGCGTTGGTTCGGGATGAAGCTCCGTGCATTCCGCCAGGTTATCGTCGATGATGACCTACCGGGAATTATTGGCTTTGTTACCGAGGAGATCAAAGTGGAGGACCCTGTGCACTTGAAAGAAGCAGTGTTTGCTGTTCAAAGGCTGCCGAAGATGCCGTCGCATTTAATCGAACTTGCCAGGAGAGCCCGCAGACGCAGCAGGTGGAGATCAAGATCCGACGCAAAATGGGTGCCTCAGGACACCATCGATGCAGTCAGGGAGCATCAGTTCTCCCAGACCTACAGTGTTTGCTGCGGATGCTTTTTGTATCGGCACGCTTTCCAGCATTCACTCGTAGTCACAGTCATTGCCTGGCAGGAACTGTCACGTGCAAATACAGAACCGAAGATGCATCTGCCCGGCACCTACGTGGTCCAAACACTGCCGTTCGTGAGCATAACGAAGCTGAGTTGAGGTCAGAAAAGCTTGTAGTACCTTGTGCCTTTCAGACCTACGAATCTCGAGGCGAAAGCAGGGCCGGACTACACAAAGTTGGAAGGCGAGCTGGAGCTGAAGCCAGGCTCCGCTTGCCAGTGGCTCGTAATGGAAGGAATACTCCTGGCTGCATACATCATAGACTTTGCCACTTTGTTCTCGCGTCTTAACCTGAAGTTGCGGCTCTGCACCAAGAAGAGCTAAATAAAAGGCCTGTGCGTAAGCTGGTAGCACTGCAGTTCGTTATATACAGGTTCCGACTGAAGTACTGCACATGAGCTTCGATATGACATGTGCAGGACAGATGGAAGCTTCCCTTTACGACAACCTGACCTGTCTTGCAAGAGCACGTTTGCCTTCCTCTAGACTCTAGTTCATGTCACTCAAATCATGCAGTGTGTAGCCGCATATGGCAAGGCTTCTGTTGGATGGCGCAGGGCAACGTAGGAGGATGACGTCTTTGTGGCCAGGTCGACATCATGCCAAAGGGCCGCTACGAGTCGACGGAGAAGTCGGGCTCCAAGTCGAGAAACCAGAGCGACAGCGCCAGTTAAGAGCCAGTTCATTTTTCGTGAGGGGGGGCTTGATTTCTTGATTTTGAAGCGCACCTTTTTTTGGTTAGACAACCGTCGCTGGATTTGAGGGTGCCCTGGGTTTCTTAACCCAAAATACATTTCTTAGTTTGACACGGCAGCAGAGAAAAAACACATGCAAGAAACGAGAGCATAGAAAGATTTGAGCCCACAATCCTTTCCATTCCAGCACATGCGCCTATCCACCTGGTATTCAGCACGCCCAGAATCCCCCAAAATAAGAAAAGGGCTCAATAGCAGCTTTGGAGGGCTCTAGAGGCTTTGCTATATAGGAGAAAAACCACCAAAATAAGAAATTGAGGGGCTCGTTCTCTTAAATTTAAGAAATTGAGGGGCTCGATTTCTTGTTTTGGGAGGTTCTGGGCTTGCCTAATATGGGCTTAATAACAGGGGTTTAGAGGTTTTGTAGGGCTTTGCGCCGAGGTGTTGGAATACGAAATTTTCTTGGTGTCCTTTTTTGTGCGAACAAAACCAGCGAACATAAAATGAGAAAGAGCAAAATAAGAAATTTGCACGCCGAGTCCAGGGTACCCTGGATTTCTTATTTTCAATTCGCGCATTTCTTGTGTATTTTTTCTTGTCGTCGCACGGCTGTCCGAGGGGCTCGATTTCTTAAACGTCTGGATGCGTCCGAGTTGCGAGAGTGTAAACCAATGATTTCTTAAGCAGTGCTGTTGCTGTACCACCCCCGGCCAGACGAGAAGAACTAGAGTTTCCGCGAATCCTGCAATCCTGCATAGGCCTCGCGCAGCACCGAATCCGCCGAACTTCGTGAAGCCTTTGCAACCCGGAGCCACGCTAGTCTAGCAAAAAACTTGTACCGAGCAGATCTCCCGGCCCTCCGTTGCATGCAGCACCGTGATCAGAAGTAGTTTCTGCAAAAAATCGTTCCTAAGGTCCTTAGCCTGGCTTGCCCTTAAGAGTGAGAAAGTTCGGCAACTGGGAGAGATAGCGGATCATTGACATCCAGTTTCTTCGGGCCTTGGGGTCATAAAGCCTTGAAAGGTTTGAGAGTTCACTTCATCTTGAGTTTTAAGTTCATCCGCTCTGCCGTCAGCGCGATGCAGACCTGGACTGTTCAAGTTCAGGCTCTCTCTGATGCCAGCGCATACTGTAAGTCCTTCGGACTACTGCTGTCTCCACTTGAGAACTTAAAGGCTCGGACCTACGCTCTTTCATTACTTGTGGAATTGTAGGCCTTCCAAAGTTGTTGGCACTGAAAGAGAGTATGTGGTGCTGCAGAGTCCACTGCTGAGGTTCAGGGTCATCTTGGAAGAGCCGTCTGGAGGTGGAACACTCGGCATGGAGACGTGGCACTTGTCTTTGACTTGAATTGCGTGCCTCAACATTGATCTCGTAGGCAAACTCGTAGGCTTGTACCGTAGACCACCCACCATCCGCAACGTGGCTGTCCTGCAGGACTTCGCTTTGATGTCAGCAGCGACGGTGGCAGTGAGTCCTGCGTGTGCACAGCGGGATGCTGAGATGGCCTCTGCTTTCTTGGACGCTCCTCTCGGATTTGCTGCATTGGAGCTGTCTTGGTAAAGGCACCATATGCAAACTTGCCGGTAAACCAGCAACAACCACATTTTTCTGGATGCCTTCAATGCACTGCTGAGTCTGGGTTGAGGTGTGGATCCTCGCAGACGTCTCGCACAAGCCTTTCATGGACAAGGACGCGCGAGAACAAATGAGGGGGCTGAGCATTCGTTGCACAAGTTTGTGCCGCATTGCTCGTTCTGACTTTGCCAGATTGTCTCGTCCTTGTCGCCGAACTGGGATGAGGTAGCACTAGGCAACACAGCTTCCAGCTCAGACGACATGCAGAATGTCCGTTGGGATATCGTTCTCGCTGCAAGCTTTGCCTTGCGTTGCTGCGCACCGAGGCTTGGTTGGAACAATTCTTTGAAGCATTGTACTGCCGGGCCCCTACTGCCAAGCGGGTTGCGGCTTACCCTATGCTAGAGCACGCGTGGGGTAGACGGTCAGCTGCTGAGGCTTGAGTGAAAGGGAGCTTTCAGAGTTAGTCCTGAAGCCAGCCCTGCTAAATCATGGACTTCCACATGATCTGCTGCTGGTAGTGGGCTTTCCTGCTTAAAGTCACTCTGGACTGCTCGGAATGCCACTGTATCTGACAGCCAGGCGGTGGTGACCGAGAAGAGCAAAGCAAATCGTCTTGGTTCGAGTTTGTCAGCAGCCCCGGCTTCTGCAAAGACAGACCGAAGCGTAGTTCTCCAAGCGACCTGTTCTAGCTTGCCGGTTGTCGGTGCAAGGCTTTAATGTTTGGGCATGTTTGTGCAACTCAATTATGCTGAGGTGCTTCACGTGATGTCCCTGCCGTGGAAAGTTGTCTTTGCCCTCGTGCCGCCAACCGAATACTGCGGTGGTTGGCTAGGTTCTTAGCACATCAGCCGTCAGGTCCGGGCTGTCTATTTCTCAGATCGGGCTCGTGACCCCACACTGCAGGCTTTGCTTCTTCATTGCGCTGGTCCGACACCTGGGCTTTTTCTGAAGTTCCTCTCACCATAGCACATGTCTTCTCAGACTTTGCACAGCTTTGCACCCATTTTTGGCCTGTGTGATCTACTGCAGGTAATGATTGGTTGCGTCACGATTATCATCGGAGATTTGGCCTCCCTGTTGGGCTGCTCGATGAACGTCAAAGCCTCGTTTTGTTCCAGCTGCATCCAGCTGCAAACTGAGCTGGAGCACATGCCGGTCCTGACTGCATAATGGCTCAGATCAACGACTTGCAGACCGCAATCACACTTGTGGCCATGGGCACCTCACTGTCCAAGACCCGGAGAGTCGGACGCATGCGCCAGATTGCGCCACATCGACGCTTCTGTCTGGAAATGTCAACAAGCGGTGCCTTGAGGCCAGACACCTTCGCATCCAGAACGGCAGCCCGACAGGACATGGCAACCTTCAGATGACTTCTCTTTGCTTGTCGTATATCAAGGCCGCATTTTAGCACCAGAGACATTCAGAAGGGCGAATCACCACGAGAGATGCACGAGCGATGGCCGCAGGATGAATATGCTGACGCCAGCATTGGAAACGCCAGATGCTGTGCCGTGAAGCACGCGTGACATTGTAGCGACTTTCGCTGGCAGCGACGATTGAGCGCATAACAACACATGGTAATAAGGTCACCGGGAGTAACTCCGTGAACGTCTTCCTTGGCATTGGCCTCCCGTGCGCCCATACGGGGACATCCGTTCTGTGCAAGCATCAGACCCGCCTTCTGTCCACGTGTTTGAAAGATTACTATTCAGAGTTCTATTTCTTCCTGTTGCTGGCAATGCCTCCTCTCTTGCAGATCCACCCTGGAAGGACAGTTCAAGAGTCACGGCCAGGTGGATGATTGGCGCCATCTACTGGAACATCCAGGGAGCGACTCCAGAATGGCAAGCTGCATATCCAGGGCCTCCTCCTCGAGTCGGCAGAAACTGATCCTGTGTTTCAAGAACTTGTGCATTCACTTGAGGCTCGTGGACACGCATCCCAACGGCGGATTCTACGTCCGCCCCAAGTTGCCGCCGGCAAGCTATCTCACTTTCCAGTCCCTTCGCACGCCGGACTTAAGGTGAGCTCTGAAGGTTTGGCCTTCAGTGTGGCGGTCTGGCACCTGGAGCCAAGCAAAAGTGGTTTGCACTCCCCTGCTCGTGGGGTACCAGAGAGCACATAACCAGACCCACCTGAGCCAGGGCCGTTTCATGCGGTTGCATTGCTGAGGTTTTTTCCTGTTGCGCGGTGGTCTGCTTTGGCGTTCTCATCTTCCGCCTGGAGCCAAGGTCATGACGGAATCGGCTTTGTCGAACAGCCTTATGACTAACTGACTAACGGCTTACACAGACATCGAGCAGTGGCAAAGAGGCAGAACCGTCAGATACCGTCAGCAGACTGCGCGGAAGGTCAACCAAGATACTTCCTAGGAAGGCACGCTTGACAGCATCAGTCCGAGCTCGCGGACGGTTTCTGAGAGGAAAGGAGATCGGGGGTCATCGCATCTCTGTGTAGAGTCAGATGTGGAGAAGCGCATAGACGCGGTCGGCACAAATGGGACCTCCGACATACTTTATGGACTCTGAAGGGCTGGCTTTGCCAAGACAAGGAAGGTCATGTGTGCCCTGCATGTTTCAAGCTAGAGCCATTTAATGCGTTGATGGTCTCCTGTTCCCGTCTCAATCCTTTCAGACAAAGGTCGGTCCTACTTTGGCGGTGAACTGGGCGGACCCAAGCCGGCGCAGCAACTGCCTAAGGGCGCCAATTGCACATGTGGCGCCTGTGTCGTGCTAGAAGCCACCGGTAATTCACAAAGCACGCGACAGCACAGCGCCAGGCTGTCGTGCAAGAGAGACAAAGTAGCCAAACCATCTTCAGAACAGCACGGCATCTGAGGTACATCTCCGGTGGCGTTTTGGTGCTGTTGTGGGCAGTGAGCTCGGACTTGTTGAACTCACCTCTTCTGGGAGATAGCTTTGGCATGAGGAGTCTTGAGGCTAGACTTTGCTTAGCGGCTTGCTTCGCCGACCAGGTTATGAGCGTTTGGCCGTCTCGCATGAAGCCCAGGCCATCTACATTGGCCTTTCAATCTGGTTCAGCAGCTGAGCTGCGAGGACACAGACGGGATATGCGCAAGAATGTGCAGTGACTGATCCCCCTGAAAATCCTAGCATGTCACGCTTGTGTGATGACATCAGTCTTGGACTGAGAGGAAGGAGGCGACATCCGTGGCTTCCAACATGTCCCAACGCATCTAGTCCACATTCAGGAGCCTTCGCATGGATGGCTCCGGTGCAGACCGAGGCCTCCCGTCCCTGCATGCACTGTATTTTTGATCAAGGAAAAGGCGTTTCTCCACAGAGACTCATCTTCTGCTGAACCTGGAGGTGGTAGGCAATGCTGAACTCGCTGGTGTTTAAGGAGCAGTGCTGCAGCCGACACTTCAGGACTGTAGACCTTCCCCGCAAGCAACGGAACTTTGCAATTAGGGTTAGATTGCTTTGCACTGACAGTCCACTCGCATGGGGCCCCCAATAATGATGCCCACCTCTGGGGAAGCAGCTTCTGAAGGGGCATCAGATGCAGTCACATGCGGAAAGAGTTACTGCAAAGCAGATAGTTTTCACCAGTCCCCGACCTCTCCAAATGTGGGAGCCGGCCTCAACTCACTGGCCACACGATGTGTGCAAATCACTATGTGGCGAGAAGCTGACATCTCGGCAGACTGTCCCAGCTGACTGGTTTCACACTGAGCGGCCTCAAACGCCCGCTCCAATCAGAAAGAGAATGAAGAGAATTAGGAGGAATCGGAGTAGCAGTAAACCTTTTTGTGAGCTTGGGTAGCTGGCGGACTGCTGACTCCTCGTGCTTCTTGCTCACACAGCTAGTTGCTCGCATCCGCGTTGGTTTCAACAGAACTCGGTAAGCCGAGCTAGCTGGTCGCAGCCCACAGGGCTTCTGCTTGTGAGCATTTCGCTGTGGAGCTGACGGTGCAAGCCTGCAGCCCACTCTCTTGGATGTTCACCATATTGAGTGTTTCAGAGTGTTGGCAAACTGCAGAGTGCGCACGTCTCACTGGACACCACGCTTGCAGGCACAGGCTCAAGCATGCAGGATTGTTCGCAGAAGGATTTTTCTTACCGCATGCTCGAGTCTGAATGCGTGCGGGCTTATCAGTATCAGCTCACATACGTCGGGATGTGATGGTCGAAGACCCATCACATCTCTATGTGGAGCCTTCACACAAGAGGACCAGACGGGCGTGTTCCGGAGAACGGGCTTGCAACATTGAATTTCTCGAATGTCGAAGCTGGACAGCCTTGCTGAGTTCCTGTGCAAAGGCTCTCTGCCGTTGGCAGGCTAGTGCACTTGCTTTGGCCAGAGATTGTTGGATAGCAATGCCCGCTTCATAGAGGCAAAACTTCCTTTTAGGAAGTTCGGGCCAAAACAAGGTGCAATAAAAATTGGAATCATGTGAAGTAGCGCGACCGAAGAGGAAAACAACATATTCACGATCATATTCGTAAGCATCATTCAGAAAATCTTTGTTTTTATAAATTTAGAAGTTCTTCTCAAATATGCTTATTCGGCAATAATATTTAAATTTTCTTTGAGAAATTGATTTCTATTGATAAGATTCAGAACGAATAAAATTATTGCGAATATCAGAATAGAAATAAAAATAAAATATATATGAATACGAGAAATTTC